TCAAGATTTAAAGCTTAAGTTAAAATAGTGACCGGATGCGGACTTATGTGTAAATGACCTCGGATTCAAATTTTGATGATTCCAATAGCTCCATATGGTGATTTTGGACATAGGAGCGTGTCCGGAAAATTATTTGGAGGTCCGTAGTGAAATTTGGCTTGAATTGCCGAAAGTTAAATTTTTGGAAAGTTGGACCGGGGGTTTGACTTTTTGATATAGGGGTCGGAATCCGATTCTGGAAATTTGAATAGGTATGTAATGTGAAATGTTACTTGTGTGCAAAATTTGAGGTCAATCGGGCGTGATTTGATAGGTTTCGGCGTCGTTTGTAGAATTCGAAAATTTATTAGGCATGAATCCGTGTGTAGTTCATATTTTTGAGATTGTTAGGTATGATTTGAGGCCTCGAGTAGGTCTGTGTTATGTTATGGGACTTGTTGATACAATTGATCGAGGTCCCGGGGGCCTCGGGTGAGTTTCAGATGGTTAACAGATCAAATTTGGACTTAAGGAAATGGTGGAACTGCTGCCTACTGGTGTGATCGCACCTGCGAAGATTTTGATCGCAGGTGTGAAGCCGTATGTGCGAGAAATAAGTCGCAGAAGCGGCCAAGTGTGGAACTGGGCAGTGCTCGCAGGTGCGAGGAATTTGCCGCATCTGCGAGGCCGCAGGTGCGAAGGAGTTGGCGCAAATACGGACTGGGGCTGGCATGAGGCGACCGCAGGTGCGAAGGGAAATGCGCATCTGTGAAGCCCGCAGATGCATGAATAGCACCGCAGATGCGAGATTTTAGAGGACCGGTTGTTTCCGCAGGCGCTCATTTTTGTCCGCAAAAGAGGATGCGCAGGTGCGAGCCCAGGCACCGCAGGTGCGGAAATGCCTGGGCAATGTTTAAAACGAGGGTTCCGAGATTTTTTCCCATTTTCAGATTTTGGAGCTCGGGCTGGGCGATTTTGGAGAGAAAATTTTCCACACAACTTGGGGTAAGTGTTCTTAACTCCCTTGTGATTATATTCCATGAATTAATCTTCATTTTTGGTGTAAGATTATTGAATCTTCAAGAGAAATAGAAGGAAATTTCTATAATGTCACAAAATGAATTATTCAAGTTTGAATACCGATTTGGAGTCGGATTTGAGTGAAATTAGTATGGTTGAACTTGTAATTGGATGGGTTGTCGTATTTTGTGAGTTTCATCGGATTTCGAGATGTGGGCCCCATAGGTGATTTTTGGGGCGTAATTTCGGATTTTATGGAAAATATTAGCGTTTTGATATGAAATTAATTCTTATAATTTGTGTGGACTGAATCAAATTAATTGTGGTAGATTCGAACCATTCGGGAGTTGATACGCGCATAATGGGATTTCTGGAGCATTGTTTAGCTTGCTCGGCATTGGATTTGGCTTGTTCGAGGTAAGTAACTCTTCTAATATTAGAGCTGACGGTATGAACCCTGAATATATGTATTATGTAAATCGTTGGGAGGTGAAGCACATACTAGGTGACGGGCGTGTGGGCGTGCACTATAGAAATTATGACATAATTGTTTCTGTGGAATTTTGTAGTTAAATAATCTTGGCATTTTCCATGCAGTTTTATATGTTAAAGAAATTGAGCTGAAAAGCATATTAAAAATCATGTTGAAGTTATGTGCGAGTATTATTGGGACCCACGGAGGTCATATTGTTTTGGATTATTTGTTTAAATTGAAAATTCATACTCAGTCATATTCATTTCATTGCATATCATATCTCAGTCTCTATTGTTATTTATTGATACATCATATCATCATTTTGGGCTATTCTCATGACATTGTGAGCCCATGAGAGAGAGACTAGAGAGATTGATGACTGAGGGAGGTCGAGGGCCTGATTGTGGGGATATTTTATGGATCGGGGTTGCCCGCCTGGAGCAGGCCTTATTGGCTTCTTATTGCACGTGAGTTGGCCGTGCAGCACGTGAGTTGGCCGTGCAGCACGTGAGTTGGTCGTGCGGATCCAGATATTTATATTATGGAACGTGAGTTGTCCGTGCTTATAGCACTTGGGCTGTAGGAGCCCCTCATGAGTCTGTACACCCCGAGTGAGCGCAGTCGACTATAAACAGGGATCGGACTGTATGCCGTAGCAGATATTGTATAGCGCTGAGTGATTGAGTGTGATGAGCACAGTGAGAGAGAATGCGAGACAGTGAGATTTAGTACTCTAAGAGTGTGAGTACATAAGTACAATCTCTGAGATATGAATAGGGATGTGTTTTCCTCATGCTGTACGGTATTACATTATTCATGATTTCTCACACATGTTGACAGATGGGCATAGTGATGCATTTGTTTTACAATAGTTATCTGGAAAAAAATGAGATATTTTATTTATCATTGAAAGGATTTTGGAAAAATTAATGTTCTCAAAATATTCATATTTTTGGCAACTTCGGCATACGATTTGGGTTTTCACTGATGTATTTGAAAGGAAGAACTATTATTTTTGAAATCATGATTTGGCTGAGCATTTTATCTCTGAGTTACTTCTGATATTATTTGCTTTATGTTGTTATGGACCGTTGTGGACTAGTGGTTTTGGACCCGACCTTGGTAGAAGCTCGTCACTACTTTCAACCTAAGGCTAGGTTTGTTACTTACTCAGTACATGGGGTCGGTTGTACTGATACTACACTTCTGCACATTGCGTGCAGATGTTGGCTGATGTTGTTGCTGTGCTTGATGGTTGCGAGATTTGAAGATGTACCTGCGTTCCTGTTGTAGCTGCCTCGTGTTAAGGGTAGCCTTAGATTTATACAAGCTCTGTTTATGTACTATTCAAACAGACTATGTAATTATTTTATTTTCTCTTTTTAAACTCTATTCTTAGAAGCTCATGATTTGTACTACCAGTTCTTGGGGATTGTATAAGATCAGGATCTTTATTCACTTAAATTGCTTTAATGATTATTATTGAAATTGGTTAGTTGGAAATTGGCTTACCTAACGGGATGGGTTAGATGTCATCACGACTAGTTGGATTTTGGGTCGTGACACTAGCCTCACTCTAGTGCGCCGTAGAAATATGCACAACTACCTTCTAACCTACAACCTTAATGCTCGACCTCCGCAACTTCTTGTCTAGAGCCATGTCCTCGGTAATCTGAAGTCACACCATGTCCTTCTTGATCAACTCTCCCCAATACTTCTTAGGCCGCCCTCTATCTCTCCTCGTACCTACAAAATCCTCCCACACCTCCTCACCGGGGCATCTGGGCTTCTCCTCTGAACGTGCCCGAACCATCTGAGCCTTACTTCCCGCAACTTGTCATCCATAGGGGTCACGCCCACCTTCTCCCAAATATCTTCATTCCTAATCTTATCCATCTTAGTGTGCCCGCACATTCACCTCAACATCCTCATCTCTTCTAATTTCATCTTCTGGATATGTGAGTTCTTAACTGGCCAACACTCAGCTCCATACAACGTGGCCGGACTAACCACCGCTCTATAAAACCTACCTTAGAGTATCGGTGGAACTTTCTTGTCACACGGGACTCCAGACGCTAACCTCCACTTCATCCACCCCACCCCTATATGGTGTGTGATATCCTCGTCAATCTCCTCATTCCCCTGAATAACCGACCCAAGGTACTTGAAACTGCCCATCTTGGGTATGACCTGAAAGTCAAGCCTCACATCCACTCCTGCTTCCGTCGGCTCGACGCTGAACTTGCACTCTAGGTATTCCGTCTTGGTCCTGCTCAACTTGAAACCTTAGACTCAAGGTCCTGTCTCCAAACCTCCAATCTCTCGTTGACTCCGCCTCGCGTCTAATCAATCAGAACTATGTCGTCAATAAATAACATACATCATGGCATCTCCCCTTGAATACGGTGTGCCAGTGCATCCATCACTAGGACAAATAGGAATGGGATGAGCGCAGACCATTGGTGCAACCCCATAATAAGAAGAAAATGCTCTAAGTCGCCTCATACTGTCCTAACCCGAGTCTTAGCTCCATCATACATGTCCTTAATCACCCTAATGTAAGCAACCGGCACACATTTTGCCTCCAGTCATCTCCATAGAACCTCCCTAGGAACCTTGTCATTCGCTTCTCCAGATCAATAAACACCATGTATAGATCATTCTTCCTATCCTTGTACAGTTCCACCAACCTCCTAATAAGGTGGATAGCTTCCGTTGTAGAACGACCCGATATTAACCCAAACTGGTTGTCTGAAATAAACATCGCCCTCCTCACCCTCACTTCTACCACCCTCTCCCAAACTTTCATAGTATGACTCAGTAATTTGATACCTTTATAGTTGTTACAACTCTGAATATCACCTTTGTTCTTGTACAACGGAACCACCGTACTCAACCTCCACTCCTCCGGCATCTTATTCATCTAGAAAATAACATTAAACAACCCAGTCAGTCACTCCAAGTCTGCTCTACCCACACACCTCCAAAATTCAACCGGAATTTCGTCTGGCCCGGTAGCTCTGTCCCTACTCATCTTACGCATAGCCTCCACGACCTCATCAACCTTAATTCGCCTACAATACCTAAAGTCACGGTGACTCTCGTAATGCCCCAATTCACCTAGCACAATATCCCGATCCCCTTCTTTATTCAGAAGTTTATGAAAGTAGGTTTGCCATCTCTGCTTAATCTGGTCCTCCCTCATCAAAACTCTACCGTCCTCGTCTTTAATGCACCTCACTTAGCCTAGATCCCGAGCCTTCCTCTCTCTCACCATGTCCAGCCAGAATAACTTCTTCTCCCCGCCTTTGTCCCCCAGTTCCTCGTACAGACAAGCAAAAGTTGCAGTCTTAGCCTTCGTGACCGCCAGCTTCGCCTCCTTCCTAGCTACCTTATACCTCTTATTGTTTGCTCTCATCTCCTCCGCGCCAGTGCTCCCTACTAATTTCAGGTAAGCCGTCTTCTTCGCTTCCACTTTACCTTAGACCACTTCATCCCACCACCAGTCACCTTTGTGTCTCCCAGATTAGCCCGACGAAACCCCTAACACCTCTCTCCCCGCCTTTCTAATGCAGTCCGCCATCGTCGACCACATAATGCTCGCGTCCCCACTACTCTTCCAGGACCACATAGCCGATAACCTCCCTTCCAACTCCTGATCTTTATCCTTGGCACTCCACCCGATCCTCGGACGTCCTCGTACAGACCTCTTCTTCTTCCTTATCATAATACCGGCTTCCATCACCAAAAACCTATGTTGCGTCGCTAGGGTCTCATCCGGGATAACCTTGCAATCCTTGCACAACCCTCTGTCACATCTCTTGAGGGGGAGATAGTCAATCTGAGTCTTCGCCACCGTGCTTTGGAAAGTAACCAAATGCCTCCCCCCCTGAAAATCTCGAGTTCGCAATCACCAGCTCAAATGCCTTGGCGAAATCCAACATCGAAGTACCCCCTCCGTTCCGCCAAAACCGAATCCAATATGCACCTCACTATAGCCACCTGCAGACGACCCAATATGTTCATTGAAATCTCCTCCTATAAATAACCTATCGGCAGGCGAAATATTACGCACAATCTCATCCAATCCCTCCCAGAAGCTCCTTTTAACATCCTCATCCAAGCGTGCTTGCGGCGCGTAAACGCTAACGACATTTAGGGTACACTCACCAACCACCAACTTAATAGTCATTAATTTATTATTCACCCGCCCAACCTCTACCACGGACTCTCTAAGATCCATGTCTACCAAGATACCCACTTCATTCTTACCCTAGAAGAAGCACAAGCATTTTATGCATTTTTTTGTATATGTTTTCTGTCCATGGTAGCTGAAACATCAAAAATATGTGTTACTCTCCTCAATTGTTACAGGGAAACCACCCTTCATTTTTGCTGAGATAAGATACATGAGAGATGGAGTTGATAGTAGGTTTGAAATTTTGATTGATAGTAGTTTTAAAGTATAAGAGGGAGAGAAAAAATTTGAGCCTAATACATTATTTTGTATAGAATTAGTAATTATGTGTATAATATATAATTAAATTAGAACTTCGTTATTAGTGGCAATTAGGTTCATAATGTAACATAAATATTGTAAAAATTTCAATAAAAAGTCTAATCCGGATGTCCACCCCTAACCAGTACAGTACAAAGTTTTATTCTGTGCTTAATTACTTTCTCTATTACCTCAAACCAAACCACCCCTTAAATTAAAGAAATAAAATACGGTCTGGGAATGGAACCAATGACCTCGTAATGGTTTTGAACCCCTTTACTACTAAGTCATACATTTGGACTGTGTAAAGGGGGTTCAAAATATAATATATAGAGGTAAAAATCAGATTTTTCCTTATATACACAGTTTAATTTTTCGGCGAAAGGGGTTCGGGTGAACACCCTTACACCCCCCTAAATCCGCCCCTGTTTGGTTCCGAAAAAGCTTGGCTATAGTGAAGCATTGTTAAATAAGGATAATGTTACATAGAGTTGTGACCGTAATACAATGCGTGAACTCATGTTTAACGTAAAGTTAAGTTACATTTGTTTATAGTTTCACGTGATTTTATAGTCAACTACTAACATTAAGATTTAACGTAACATTGCAATCCATTATATTAACACTGCATTTAATGCGTGACATGTGTGTATTTATTTATTGATTCCGAGTTCCGACTTATGATTTATTAAGCCTTGATTATGTTTGGTTTTCTTTTTTAAAAAAAATATTCTGATATATATTGTATCAACTTTATTTATTAATGCGTCGAACTTTATTAATTTTCTTTCTGAGCAATAAACCTCGTAAAAAACTCAAGCGGGAGCTGCTAGAGTAGTTAATGAGAGAGGGAAGGATTAGAGATTAATGACGAATGGAAATCTATATATTTATGTAATATTTCATAAGAACACTTATATTATCTTTCAATTTCTAAGTACATAATATTGTTTCATATGGCTAAGAAATTTGCTCATTTCTTCACGGTTTTCCTCATCATGACTGCTGGTTATTGACTCTCTCTATCTCTTGCTCTCTAATTAGTTAATACCTGTTGTAGTGGCTTTGGTGAATAATGGTAGATTAAGGTCATGTCCTCGAGGGTGTGGAGGTCGAAGATTAGGGTTATAGGTTAGTTAGTGGTCGAGTTTATTTCCTTTCCACGCCTGTACTTCCTTTCCTAGTTGTTGTACTAGTGTTATCTTTGTGTTCCTCATTTTTAGATGGATATTCTTTTACATGAGGTTCTCTTTGCTTCGTTTTATTTTTTGGTTGTTATAACTATTTCGTTTGCCGTAGTTCTCTGTCGTAACTGTTGTGATTTTGTTGTATTGAGCCGAGGGTGTTTCGGAAACGGCCTCTCTACCTTCACAAGGTAGGGGTAAGGACTGCGTACATACTACCCTCCCCAGACCCCACTTATGGGAATTTTTTGTTGTTGTTGTTGTTGTTGTTGTATCTCTTGCTCTCTAAATTTGTATTAGGTGCGTATCATATATATCTAGTTCTAATGTATTCCCTTTTAAATTGATTTTAGTCATGATCTTGCAGTGTATCTTGCTTCGTCCTCAGTAACAAAAGCAATTGCTACGAGAGACAGCTCGAATCATGACATTAGAGGCTTAGAAAGGAAACTACTTTCTCATCCAAATGATCTGACTTGCTGGAGACCATGCGCTTGTGACTCTGAGTGTTCTGATGGTTGGTTTTGTAAATTGTGCGAATGGGATATTCTTTTTCGCCAGAAGATGTGTTCTGCTAGCTCCTTCACATTCTCGATAGCAGGTCGAATGTGGCTTTGATTATATCTCTTTTACTTGTTCTAGTTGTATTTGTGCCTGTTTGAACAAATATGGGATTCATCTCCAAAGTCTTGCAATGGTAAATTGGTAATGGCCTGATCCTTGTCACTAAATGTGTACTACTATATCTTCGCTCTACATTTCTGTATTATCAAACTCGTTTGCGCTTTTACTTTCAAGCAAATACAAGTTTCAGCTACTTGTTTGATAACTCTGTAAAATGAAAACGATGCGCAATAGATTTAAAATAACTTATGCCTAAAGCAAATATATATAAACACACAGGATGTCAGTAATACGAATGCCAAAATTGAGTAACAAATTTGGTTACACCCACGTCCACATATGAGAAAAGCTACAAATTCTAAGCAGGCCAACAAGAAGAATGAAGTTGTCAAGCCTGTAGAATTATCTAAATATGATGATTGATAAGTGCTGCCTAATACTGTGCATGTCTTTCAAAATCTAATATTGTTGTTATAAGAAACAAAAAAAGAAACCAAAAGAACTTACACTAAAGAGTGGTGGCTTTTCATCATACAACTATATATGACTAGAGATATTGATGATATAACTGATGAAGAAGAATCCTAAAGATTCCTTCTACTGCCAAAGACAGAAAGTGATTTTTGGTAATAATCAGAGCGACTTCGATGGTAATCAATCCATATACATAGTTGTCGAATGGCTTCCCTCTTTTCCTCCTTGAGAGCTAACATCCCGTCGTCTTTCTCCTTTATCATTTTCTCCAATTCTCTAACCTTATTGTCTGACTTCCAAACTTTCTCTCTATACACTAATATCTCTGCTTCCTTGTCATCTAACTGTGCAAGTAAGCAATCTAGATCATCTTGGACATGTACTATCGCTTTATTTTTCCTCATAACCCAATCTTTTACAAATTTCAGCTCACAAGATACCTTGGATATTCGATTAAAGAAATGAGCTGTACACTCCTCAAATTTTAGAGCCACTGTGTCTAGTGAAGCTAGCGTGTCGTTTGCTGTCAATGATATATCCTTAATCCCCCTAATACCAAATTGCAAACTTGCATTCTTTTCTTTTAGATCATTATTTTCTTTCTCGTACGAGTCTCTTGTTTTCTGGTACCACTCCTTGTTCTCAAGGTGCATTTGTTCTGCCACGCGGATCCTTCTACTCAAGATTCTCAAACCGTCTTCAAACTTCTTGCGCAGTTCTTCTGTCATTTCTTCTATTTTCCTTTCAGCATTTTGCAAATTGGATTTGGATTCTTCTAACCTGGTCTTCATTTGCTTATGTTCCTCATTCAACTTGTTAATAGTATCTTCATTTTCTCTTAGTGACTTCTCCTGATCTGTGATCTTCGTTGTCAATTCAGCGTTTCTCTTTTCCATTTCATTAAGGTTTTGAAAGGACTCATGTTTCTCTTTCTCAAGCTGTGACTGTAAACGAATTCTTTCAGTTTCCCCATTTCGCAGCTGTTGTTGAATCGTGCTAATTCGTGCTGCCAAAGATGCATTCTGACTGGACATATCATTCATGTAGGCCTCATGTTTCTTTTGAAGAGTTGAGAGCTCTTCTTTCTTCTCTAGTAGTTTGGTTTCTAACTCTGACATCTTATCACTTAGCTCCTCTTTTTCTAACTTTGAACGATAAGCTTCTCGGTTAATATCCCTTATTTCCTTTTCCAAGTCACTCTTTTGGCTGCAGAGTGAGTCTAATTCCAATTTCAAGTCTTTTACCTGTACTTTTAAGCCTTCATTCTCTTTTAATGTTTCCTTCTCAACCAAACTGGCGCTTGTTAGTTTCTCTTTGAACTTTTCAATCTGGAGATGACATTCCGATAGCTCTTCAGTCTTTTCTTTGAGTGTCAACTCTAGTGCTGATTTACGATGGCTCGAGGTTTCCAACTCCTGCTGCAAAAACTTAACCTTTTCGGTTAAATCCTTAACTTCGACAGTTGCCTCGTGACACTTCTTTTCCAGTGACAACTCCAACTCGGATTTTTTATTGTTTAAGGACAAGAGCTCTTCTTGTGAAAACAACTTATGTTTTAGTTCATTCCTTTCAGTATGTAAAGAGTCTAACTCTTGCTGCAGACTATTTGCTTGTGTCATCAAATCATTAATTCTAGACATTGAGTTGATCTGATTTTCCTCAAACTTTGTAAGAAGATTAGAAAATTGATCTTCTTTCTCTCTGAATGCTGCCTCCAATTCTTGGATATGAGCTTGCAAACCTGAATTATCCTTTTCCAATTGTTTAATATCGTTCGACTTGCACACAATCTGCTCTTCAAGTTCTTTCTCGTGTACGCTAGAGGTTTCAAGCTCAAGCTTCATATTATCAATTTGATCCTCTAACTTCTTCAGTTGAGCCAACCTCTCGCTCTCGTGAACTTCATATTTCTTGGTAAGAGACAAGAGTTCTTCTTCTTTTTCAGTTACTTTCTCCTTTAACCAAGCCGATTCATTTATCAACTTCTGTGTCATGCTATTTTCGATCTCTTTGCCTTGATTGCTCAGGTCCTTGAAAAATTCTCCAGAGTCCGGTTCTTGACCGGAAGATATTGGTGAATCAGGTAATGAATCCAAATCCAAACTTGCAGTTTCCAAATTTACAGCATTGGAAAAGTATGTGCTGCTTTCGCCAGCAAATTGCCAAGGGGAATGGTATGCTTCTGAATCTGAAACTGAAGAAGATGAAGACGCAGCATCATCCTCATTTTTGGCACAAAAGTTTTTCTTTATTTCCCCTCTGAGATTTTCATACATAGCATAGAGGGACTTGTATTGTTTGTGAAAATCATCGACAAGTTGGATAAGTTCTGATCTTCTCCTTAAGTTCCCTTCTCTACTTCCTTTGTTTATACTCTTGCTCAGCTTTACAATCCTTTTTACTTTGCTTTCAATCTCTGCAATAAAGAACAAACTCCTCAAGTAAGGACTTAAGAAGGCAGGC